GAGCATCTTGCTCATCATCTCCTCCATGATGGCAAACTTCATATCGATCTTCTCATGGACAGGTAAAATTTGAATTTTGAAATATGAAATTGTTTCTTCGAAATCATGTTTCAATTGTCCGATCTCCTCTTCCAACACTTATATTTTTCTTCTTGCCATAGGTACTCGAATCTATGCTCTGATACCGAATTGATAGGAAGTGGAGGTAGAAATTGAGAAAATATCTTGGCTGAAATTCAATTTCAGCAAAACCAGAAATTGGTAACAAGAGAACTAGGAAGAAGAACACACAAGAACACTTTTTATTGAATTATTTATGAAAGAAAAAAGCAAGATACACTTGGATCTTCAATTAGAGAGAAATATCTCGCTCTGGCAAATTCCTAGCTGCCGGCTAGAGCCTTCTCAACCTAAGCAATTCCAAAATCAGTTAGGGGCTATTTGGTTGCCTGAAAAGAAAATGCAGTGTAAAGTAAATGTAATGTAAAGTAAATGTAGTGTATTCCGAATATTTTGAGACTGTTTGGTTGTCTGCAAAATAAACGTAGGAGAATTGTTTCCCTTGTTTGGTTTGGTAGATCTAGAGTAAAGTAAAAGTGATTTTTTTTGTCATAATTAATTTTGGCATTACAACTAGTCTATTTATAAAGCAATGTATTTATAACAAACTCTTTCGAAAAAGATCTCTCACCCACTACAAAAAAAAAAAAGTTTTAAGGACATACATATTAAGGCATTTTTATTTAACTGCCTTAATAAATATTTATTAAGGCATACTCTTTTCCCGCTAATTAGTAGGTATTTGGCGCGAGCGCTCGACATACTTATTTTTTTCCTAAGTAAAAAGGGATTGCGAATGACGGATAGTTATCAAAATCCAAAAATTCTTATTTCATCCCGCGCGTTTCTTCTTATTTCATCCCGCTTCTTCTTATTTCATTCGCCTCCATCGTCTTTGTTCGTTTGCTTCCTCCATCATCTTGTTCGTTCGCCTCGATTGATCGCTGCCGTGAAATCCACAAAGGCGACTGTCGCATCAGGTAAAATGCTTTTAATCGGCCTTAATCGTTTGAATGTCGAATGCCCACTACCTAGGATTCTATAAAATTTTATTCTTTCTTCTTTTGATTTGTAGGGTTTTTGAGGTTCTTGTAATTTTTTAAAGATTGACCGAACGCCGGCTTTTGTACCTCTGCATAGGCACGACTGCATTTTCCTTGATGCTTGACCTTGCAATATGAAGACCTTCGTGACCACGCTCCTCAACTTTCACTGTGACTAAGGGTGCGTTTGGGACGGCTTCAGGCCTGCTTTGCTTTATAAAAATTTATTAAGTGCTCGTTTGGGGCATTGCGGTAGAACAAAGTTAGGAAAATTTCTGCGGCCCGCCGCTGCTTCTCGCGACTTTTGATTGCGTCCCACGGTCCGCTGCGGCTCACTGCTTTCCGCCGTTTTGAAGGGGATAAATGACGGAAAAGCCGGGTCGCTCCAATGCGCGCCTTCTCCGATGGGCATATTTTTCTCTGCAGCGTCGTTGTTCTCCTCATTAAAAAGCTAGGGTTTGCGTCATTCCAGGCTACGCTGTTTCTTCTTGGGAGGATTCATTGATATCTGATAGCTTCTCTGGTTACAAACGGCCGAGAGATATCGTCGGCCTGAACCAAACAGAGCTACAGGTACTGCATGTCTGCATCTCATTTTCTCCCATGTCTTCTTCGTCCGCTCCACAGAGCAAAAGAGTTTCTGTGTTCCGTCGGCTTGGAACACAGAAACTCTTCCGGCGATGACGTCGTCGCCAGCGATCCTCCGGAACTCCAACCCTTTGCTAGTCATCTTTTCCCCTTGCTTTTGAAGTTGAATTAACTAGTGTATCGGACTTAGCTTGAAGCTGAAGTTCTCGATTACTTCTGAGGAAGAAAATATAGTTCTCTGTGCTCTTTCTCCAAAGCACATTGGTGGATTTCTCATTCAAGGTGGCTGCTGGTTCTCTCTTACTATTTTTGTTTTGGAGGAAATTTTAGAAGATCATGAAGGTTCCGCCGGCGAATGGGCTTCCGGCCAATCCTATAAAAACATAACAAATTAATTTAAATTATGATTAGAAAAAGTTAAGTTAAAATTTTATAGTATTTTGATATATAAACTTATTAAAGATTTGATAAAATTAATTAATTTTAATTCATAAATGTTAGTTGATTATTATATTTATCTAAATGTATAAAAGGGTATTAAGATAATTTGTTGTCATACAGCAGCAGCACAGCAACTCGACAGTTATACCACCCAAACAAAATCTATTGATTTTTGTACAACAACTTTAGAAAGCAGCTTTATGGACAACAACTTCACAACCTGCTTTACCGACAGTTACAGCCGTCCCAAACGAAGCCTAAAACTCTAGTGACCTCTGCTTGTAAATGTAATATAATATATTTAATTTTTTCTTAAAATTTAAATTCTTGCAATCAAACATCCCTTTAATAGGATTATATGAATCCTCCATTACTCTAATTAGGCTGAAAATAATTCATTTAGTAGATATTATTAAAAAAGAAAGTTACAACCACATGTTTTTACAAAAACTCCTCCCAAAACTACCCAGTTGAACATAACAGCTAGAGAACAAGGAATCACTATTTCCCTTTCATTTCTTTCGCCTTCATCCGGTAAACAACAATTTCACATATTGCTACTGCTCCACTTCCACGTCCACCACCGCTTTCGCTCCCTTGAAACCTTTCTTCTAACGGAGCTGCCGTTGAGCCCCACCACCACCGGCAGCTTCATTATACGATAAGCGCCCAACTCACACCATCAAAAAACGGATGCTGCTTGATCTCTGTTGCCCCCTTCACGCTCCCCATCCTCCGCCGCGGATCCCACTCCAGCAGTCGCGAAATCATATCCCTTGAGAGAATGCGCGCGAGAAAGCCGATCGCGGATGCCGCTCCCCATTCTCCGCCGCGGATCCTGCTCTATCAAAGAATGGGCGTGTCACCACCGCACGTCGTTGGTTCGCCTCAGCATCGGGAAATCCCACCTACCTCGAGAGAATGTTCTTCAAATTAGCTTCTTTGCTCCCTCTCTTGAACGACATTCGGCCATAGATTAACTCGTAGATGAAAACCCCAAATGCCCACCAGTCAACGCCGTTACCATGGCTGGAGCCCCCGACGATCTCTAGTGGGAGGTACTCGTGCGTCCCCACGCATGCGCGGGAGAAAGCCGACTCCGGTTCCGCCATGAACTCCAGCTTTACTCCGTCTCTGCCATGACTCCGACGAAAACTGGCGTAGCGGAGGATTTCTAACCCTCTCAATTTGAGCGGGTTTCGAAGTCGCGCGAAATGCCCTCTGTAATACACCACTTATTCTTCGGTAAATTCCTTATTTTCCACTTAAAACCAACCAAACGACGTAATTCACAAAATGCATGTAAATAAATTATTTTACTCTCCTAATTTTGCATACTAAACGGGCCCTTAAACAAAACATAAATTCAACCCTAGGGTGAACAATCTACTTAAAGCATACAATCATATAGTAAATCCCCAAACAACCCTTCACATAGTAAATCCCCAAACAACCCTTCCCATACTATCCCTGACTCTCTTGGCCGGCGGTGGCTCCCCTAGCTTCTAACGATGTCATTTTGGTTTGTACCTCGAGCATCTTCCTCATCTTCTCCTCCATGATGGCAAACTTCCCATTGATCTTCTCATGGACGGTTAAAATTTGAATTTAGAAATCCAAAATTTTTTCTTCAAAATCAAATTTTATTTGTCCTATCTCCCCTTTCAACACTACTGCCTTTTTTCCTGCCATTGGTAGTCAGATCTACGCTCTGATACCAATTTGATAGAAAGTGGATGTAGAAATTGAGAAAATGCCTTGGCTGAAATTCAATTTTAGCAAAACCAGAAATTGACAACAAGAGAAATAGGAAGAACACACAAGAGCTTTTTTATTGAATTATTTATGAAGGAAAAAAACAAGATACGCTTGGATCTTCAATTGGAGAGGAATATCCTGCTCTCCCAAATCCCTAGCTACTGGCTAGAGCCCTCTCAACCTAAGCAATTCTAAAATCAGGCAAACAAAATATAAATTCAATCCTATGTTGAACAACCTACTTAAAGCATAGTATCACATAGTAAATCTCCAAACAACCCTTCCCATATTATTCCATCTCCTCCCAAGAAATATGCTCTAGGGGAGGCATTCTCTCTTTAAACTCTAAAATCTCCACCTCATGATCTTTCCCCCTCCTTATCGGATTAAGGTTTCCCTGACTCCCTTGGCCGGCAGTGGCTCCCCTAGCCTCCAATGACGTCATTTTGGTTTGAACCTCGAGCATCTTCCTCATCATCTCATCCATGATGGCAAACTTCTCATCGATCTTCTCATGGACAGTTAAAATTTGAATTTCGAAATCTAAAATTTTTTCTTCAAAATCAGATTTTAATTGTCCTATCTCCCCTATCAGCACTACTGCTTTTTTTCCTGCCATAGGTAGTCAGATCTACGCTCTGATACCAATTTGATAGAAAGTGGATATGGAAATTGAGAAAATGCCTTGGTTGAAATTCAATTTTAGCAAAACCAGAAATTGACAACAAGAGGTACTGGTATTATAGCAACAAGGTCATTGAAATAGAAGTACTGGTATTATAGCAACATATTACAGATTTTTTTCTCCTCACTTTTTGTTCAATTTGAGAAGGAAACAAAATCTGATATATAATTGAAATTTGTCGTTTTTTCTTCCGTTCTATACATTTTATTCTCATAATCAAGAGAAAGTTACAAATTCTTTCCTTTTCTTTTCTTTTTTCTCCGATTCTAGACTCCTAATTGGAGTGCAAGGGGCCAGTATAGATAATGCTTGTCTCTCTGTTTTCTTTTACCGACATGTTTTCAGTCTTTTGACTTACCTGATGTATTCGAGAATGAATCATGAAATGCCTAACTTGACATGAAATACTGTCATTCTTTTTAATTTCACAGGATTGCATGTTGTGGTAGTAATGTTCACTGGCTATTTATTTGGATTTGCTGCTTTTAGAGCCTTGTTCAACCATAGTGCCGTGTTGGTAAATTCCGAGCTGCAGAACTTTAAAAGCTTTTAAACCGTTACTTTTTTTTTTCTAGCTCTGTACAATTGGAGCTGATCCCATCTTTATCTGCAGCATGCTGCTGGTGGCATCCTAGGAATGGTATGTGGTATGCTTCTTGAGACAGTTCTCTTCATCATTAGAGCTTCAGGTCAGGATTTGCTGTCCTCCAACTCAACCTCAAAGCGAAAGAAGCAGCAGTAAGGCTTAGGTATGGCTTTGGAAACCAACTTTTGATTATATTTGTATGCATTTTTTCTTACTATTATACATGTCAGATCTATCAGCTTAGCTAATCTTAGATCTTCATGAGCAATACAAATTCCTTGTAGTTTGTAAGTTTTCACAATATCTTGGGAGTACTGGAACACTTATACTGTAGTGACATATATTTTCTTTTTCTCTTATCTAGACATAGCTGTTCTTGTGCTTCAAATTGAAAGTGGAGCTTATTGACTTGGTTGAACAATACATTGCTGAAGTTTTTGCAGTTTATAAAGGGGAAAAAAAAGGTTAACCAATCTTGATGCAATTCTTGTTAGAATGTACACTAAAAAATGCATGGCATGAAATACAGTGACATGAAGACGTGAAAAGTTCTGACACTTGACATGAAATATCTCAAAAAGAGCGGTTTATCTTATTGTTTTGTTATTTTGCCATTTATTTCGTAGGAAATATGTTAGACCGGTCCAGCCGGTTCGCACGGGACCGGCAGTTCACAAACTACACGGGATCTCCGCCTCCTGCGGAGATCGAGCGGCCCGACCGCCCCATTAGAGCGTTTTAGGAAGCGTTTTTTAGGATTTTGAGAGGGAAATTTGAATGTAGGGACTGTTTGGGGATTTCCTTTTGATTTGTATGCATTAAATAGTTGATTTTCCTAAACTACTTGAAATGAAGACCAATCCGGCGACATCGGAAGTAAGAGAGACCACCGACGGCCATGGCATGAGAGGAAATCCGAACCCGTTGCGGGGGAGGAGGAATTCGAAGGTGGAGATACTGGAGGAGTAGAACGACATGCCCCCTCTAGAACCGCTTTCTAGAGAAGATATGAGTAGGGGATACGACAAACGGGAGGCTGATTTTGTCAGAAGAAGAGAAGAATTTCATCGCACAGGTGCTGAATTTGAGAGAATCCAGCGTCAAGGGAGAAGGGAGGAATTTCATCACCGATGTGCTGAATTCGAAAGAGTTCAACGTCGAGGGGCTGATTTTGAAGGAAGAAGGGAGGAACTTCATCGTCGAGATGCTGAATTTGTAGGAATTCATCGTCGAGGTGATGATTTTGAAGGAAGAAGGGGAGAGTATGAAGAGGGGCTCGAGTATAATCATCGGAGGGATGATCGAGACACTTGGGGGGCTCTTCTCCATCGAGGAATGGGAGGTTATGGAGGATACCGGGGAAATGGAGGAGATCCAAAGGTGAGGAAGCTAAAGATATCCATCTTTGAGGGTGAGGATGACCATGGGTGGATTTATAAGGTGGAGCGATATTTTGCTATCAATGGGCTGACGAAGGAGGAGAAATTGACAGCTGCGGGAATGTGCTTGGAGGGAAAAGCCTTAGTCTGGTATCAGTGGCGTGACAGACGGGAGCCTATCCGGAGCTGGCGGGAGTTCAAAGGATGCATATTAGAGCGTTTCCGAGCATATGAGGGAGGAGACTTCTATGAGCAATTCTTTACCCTTACCCAGGAAGGCACGGTGGCATATTACCAGGATAGGTTTGAGTATCTGGCTAGTAGGCTGGATCATATCTCGGAGTCAGCTCTGGAAGGGAATTTCATGAAGGGGTTGAAACTGGAGGTAAGAACAGCAATCAGAGTGTTGGAGCCAAGGAATCTAGGCAAGGCCATGGAGTTGGCCTAGTTGGTGGAAGACCAGAAGAAGTTTGAAAGAGGGACTCAAGGAAACTGCTCAGGAGGCTCTTACAGGACGACGACTACTCTTCTAGCACCCAAGGGGCCTGCATCAGACAACATTAATGAGACCACCCGGGAGAAGCTAGTAGGAGGGAGTGGGGAAAATTTCAAGAGGCTGACAACATTATGAATATTTTTTTTTGTTTTTTTTAAAACAACTTTTTAGTACAATTTTATTTAAAATCAACGAAAAATAGTGATTAAAAGTTGTCCCAAATGAAGCCTAAGTTATTCCGATCAGATTAGACGGTCCTTTAAAAAAAACCAAAATTTTATTCATAATAAAAACAGGGATACAATAATCGTTACTAACAGTCGGAAGTACAATACATTAAGTTCAAAAACAACTAGAAATCAAAGGGTACGAAGTGAAAAGCTAGAAGGGACACAGTACGGAGGTTCCCGTACACCAAACTTGCAGCCAAACACGGACCATCCTAAGGTGCCAGTAAAGAAAGGGACCACCAAGCCAACGAAAGAGGCACCCCGGTTTCCAACCAGCCCAGCTAGCAAGGAGACAGGAGACCTCCTCATCATCGTCCACCATATAAAATCCACAGAAAAAATAGCAAACATAAAAAATAAGCTATTTCTTTCTGCCTTTATTTTTATGCTTATTACAATCCACATTAAGAGAATCCCGTTTAATATAACGATCCACTAGCTCCTCAAAATCATGATCCGATTCCTCAGAAGAAAAGTCATCCTCTAAAACCAACCAGTCAGTTTGATTGTTTGAAACAATACATCATTTTTCCAAGACCTAGTCATATGAGATTTCATATCATCATTAGACATAACTAAAATAGGGACATCTACAAAGTTATCATTGCCCTTAAAGCCATCATTAGGAATAGAGACCGAAAGTTCATGAAACTGCTTATTCGATACCACAATAACATATGAGGAAACATCCTCAGGAGGCACAACAGCCATTGGAGGAGAAAATACATTTTCACTAAGTTTCCTATAAGTTGAGTCAGGAGTAACAGAACGAAAATTCTCGTCAGCCAAAACACACGGGGCAGAGGCATTATCCACGCAGGGTAAAACAATTTTAAAGTTTAACAGAACATTAGCTTCACTCACGCAAGCCTGAGGGGCAAGGGTAGCAGGAGCTACACCATCTAAAACCATCTCAACAGGAAGAGGGGAACTAAGAGCGTGAGAAGAAGACACAGGCCTTACAGGCAAAACTTCAACAGAAATAGGAGAAGGCAACTCAGCTAATTGGTCCCCAATAACAACAACATCCACATCAGTATTCCCAACAACAACATCAACAGGACTACAATCAAGGTCTACTCCAGCCATCACAACAGCAGCTTTGGGGTCCAGCATTAAAACTAAATTATTGACATCCGGAGAGTTAACCAAGGAGACAACAGCAGGCCTAGGAACCCCAACGACCTCCCCCTGATCAAAATCCATAACAGCACCAGCTGGTTTAACAGGAACAATAAAAGGACTGCTAGATTTAGACCTACATTCTCCCTTGGCATGACCAATAGACTGACATTGAGCACAAAAAGGGGGGAAAGCCTCCAATTCAACCTTTTGAGTATAGTCAAGCTTCTCATGACCAATCCAAACACAGACCGAATAAGTTTTTGTGATATCCATCTCAACCAGAACTTTAGCAATAGACGGCCTAGAGCCCAAAGAAGTGGCAGAATCAACCTTAAGAGGGTGACCAAAGATCGACCTAACGCATAAAGAATCCTCGGGTTAAAGAGATGAGGACGAAGACCTGGGAAAGAGACCCATATAGGAATAATCAGACATTCAACACTGATGTCCAAAGAACGAGACCATTTCGTTAATTGCATATAGCAGTTATAAACCAGGTAAGAACGATGTCTAAAAACCCGGCTATAGTCTAGGTCATTCGAGAGCTTAACCAGAATATGCGAAGAATCGAGCAAAGTTACCAAAAAATCAACTAAAAGCTTCATATTGAAAAAAAAATTCCTTATGGAATCAAGACTAGGTCGCCGGGAACGAAAGAAACCAACAAGCGAAAACTGGAACAGAGCAGCTAGTGCCCGAATTTCCTCCTCATAAATCCACAGAGAGGGTATACCACGAAATGAAGAAGACTAAGCTTCGGAAAACTCACATTAGGCGGACTACCAGCTAACGCATCGGTGAAAGAACGCAAATAATTGGAACCATACAAAAAATCAGGGTCCAACAGGTGTTTCGGCGCCATTCCAGCCACAAACGGCTGGACAAAAACAAATAGAATAAAGAACGAAGGAGGCAGGGAAAAGAA